ATTTTTTTTCTTCCTTAGCTGTTCTTGTTCTGGACCAAAGCCAAGGTGGTCTGGAGAACAGTGGCAGACATGCAGAAGGACAGCCTGGAACATCAACTTTTTTACTTTATCTTTCAAAAGGTTTTTGCTTTTATTCTTCAATTCTTTTTTCGCTTAATGTCTTAAAAGTCAAAGACTGAATCCCCTTTCCACCCGCTCCCACTCATCTACTACCTGACAGCAAAAAACTTTTTCCCCCCCAACTTCTTTTTTTCTTGGATTTCTCGCCTCTGGATTTTTGGATCTTCAGTCCTTCATGCAATGGAAACAAACGGTGCTGAGTATTCTTGGTGGTATGTGGTATTGCTGGTTTTTCATACTTTGACTTCAGTGTTCATTTCTTTTGTAATTCTTGTTTTGTATTTTTCTTGGGGTTTTGTGACACCACACTGCTAATCCCACTGGTGGATTTTGTTGGGTGTCTTAGGGGATCCGTCTCAAGGTCCTCAAGCAGTGGTTGGTTGGCTCTTCTTCCCTGGCAGTGGCCAAGCTTTTAAACACATTTTTTTTCAATCTTCTAATTCAACTGCTCTTTGTTTTTCAGCAAATGTAATCAATGATTGTAAGTCGTGGCAAACTGTCTTTTCTTAAATGATCTGCATGTCTTAAGGGAGTTTTGTTTCTTTCAGTGATATTTTGATAATTTCTAATGACTAATTTTAATTTTTTGCTTTGTGCAGCTTTTTTTTTTTTTTTTCTTTTTTTTTTCTTTTTGGGCTCGCTGCGAATTTTTGGCTTTCTTCCGCAGACGACTTTCTTGAAATCCCGGCCTGGTATTTTTTTTTATTTTTTTTTTTATGTTTTTTGCGCGTACCTATCTTTGGCGCCACTTTTGATCCCTAAATGAAACAAAACAAACACAGAACCAAAAATTAATCTTTTGTTTTATTTAAAAGCCATACTTCCTTGAAGCAGTCTCACACATCTTCATTTGATTAGCCTAGGAAATCTGAGTGTTAATTATGACTAGAAGGCTTGCTTGTGGAAAGAAAATTGTTTTCTTATGCTAGCGTTGATGATGTAAAGAATAAATTTAAAAAAAAATAATCTTTATATGTTTTTCTCATCGCATCATTTTCTGTCTGTACACCTTAGCGAAAGATTGAATCGACGTTGAGCTGACCTTCGCTTTCAGGGCTTTCATATTGTTAAGAGGTTTAGCTTTCTGAGGTGAGAAAACATTCTCTGACCATCTCTTTGGCAATATATTTTATATCCATACAGGCGCCCTTCAGATCGAACAGAGTGAAGAATCTGACCAAGGAAAATACGAGTGTGTGGCTACCAACAGCGCGGGTACTCGCTACTCGGCCCCAGCCAATCTATATGTCAGAGGTAGGAATGGTATGAACTTGGCATCCGTTCTTCATTCTGGTTCAGGGGGAGTTGAGATGCCCACAGCATCTATGCTACCATGCCTGTATTGAAAGTCCACCTTTGGTCCGAGTTAGAGTAGCTGGACCATTTTAATGAATAGAGATATAAAATGTTGAAATACGTAGCGATGGTTGAAAACAAAAAGTTTGTAAGTATATTTGCATTTTATATACTGGTTTCTATTTTTACTACATTGATTGAACTCTGCTTTGCATTTGTTTGGGGAGGGGGGGTTTCTTCCTTTTTTTTTTTTTTTAACTTCTTTAGCTTTGTTGTAGTTTATTTGCTGTTTCTTTACCAAATCCTGAAGTAATTGCTCCGTGTGCTACTAATCAGCTCTCTGTGAACTCTTAGCATTTGGGGGGGAAAGGGGCGGGAGTGGTTTGACCCTTGCTGCTGAACTGTAAGGATTAAGCTGCTAGTTTAAAGCACAAAAAGAATACTATGTGCAAATAGTACCTCTGTGTTTTCTTCCTTCATTGTAGACTTTCTGATTTTTAGAACACAGAGTATGTATAGATGTGGATAGAAACAACATATGTATCCACCTCTACACACACAGGCTCACACACATTTTTGTTGAAATTATTAAAACTTCCTGAAAATTTTAATCTTTCCTTTGCCTTGGAATACTGATTGTATTATTATTATTATTATTTTTAGTGGCATTAGTTATCCTTGGGACAAGAATGAATAATGGGAATGCATTCATATCTTCTCCTAACGTAATAGGAATAATTAATGTTTAAGCTTATGAACGGCTATGCCTTTCATTTCCATTAGAAAGAAATACTTTTTCTTCTCCTGGGGTTCTGAGAGTCAGTTCCTATAGGTTTTGATCCAGTGGAAATGCTCTTGTGCCTGGTCAATGTAGAACAGGGGGGAGTGGGGGTGGGGGGAGAAGACCAATATTAAGAGTGCTTTTAGCTTATTACCATAGGTTGGATTCTTAAGAAAATGTCTAGCTTGATTTTGAAATTTTTGTTAGCGCCAATTTTCTTTCCCTGAGATAAGGGTATTTTCCTCTGTTAGTCTCCCGTGGGGATAGGAGGGTCCGAAGAACAACATTTCTTCCCTAAATTGGTGGGAAGTCCTTTGGCCTGTTTCTCCCAATGGTGACCCCCACTTTGCTGCATGAGGCATGTTTACCTTCTTTTCAATGGAAAATTTCAAAATGATGCTAGCTATTGTTTCTAATACCGCATTAGTGTGTGAGGAATTGCTAACTTTTCCCGAGGTAGTTAATCTTCATTAACTAGAGCAAATTAAGATGTTCAAATAGCAGTTGAAAGCCTTGATCTGGCCTTTTTACTCTCTCTGTGTTTCCCTTGTTTTTCTCCTTCCCTCATTTCATTGTGTTCTGCATCAAACCCCCTACATTCCTCAGAGCTGCGAGAAGGTTGGTGTGTTTTTTACTTTTTACCCACCTTACAAAACTATTAATTAAACCAATAACAAAGAATACAAATGAAATGAATGTAGCTGCATATATGGTCTTCCTTTGGTTAGTGATATGTTTGAGCAGAGAATGCCCTGGCCGTGGCTTCCAGTGCTTGCTAGTGGAAGCTAAGTGGTGCATGATGGGAGAGAATGTGCCTGGGTGCATGGTAACTGGTAGCACTTAATTCTCGAAATCTGGTGAACTTGGTCAGTGTTCCTGCTTTTCTTCCTGCTCCACTTCCCTGGCCCTCCCACCGCCTTCCACTCACCTCTACTCTGTCTCACACCAATGCCTGCTGCCCGTACAATGACCTTTTACTAGTTGTTCCCCTAATCTCAAGCATGAAGACGCCTCCATTTTTCTTGACCTCTACACTGGCTCCTGCTTGCTTCCTGTGACCTCTGGATTAGCTGCAGGGGGCATGCTTAGCGCTCTCTGTATTTCACCTAAACCTGTCATTCACTCATGATGCCATTGCGGCGGGCCCTCTTGCATCAGCAGCAAGAGACTTACCTCAACCTTAGGCGCTGCCCAAAAGTTCCCAGGCAGAATTTTTTTCTCTATCTTTTATCTTCTTGGGGGTTCTACAGTTGCTTGTTGATTAGCTCATTTGTAATTTTATACCTGACTCCCATCAGCTATGTTTCGGTTATGCCTAATGATCACCCTCCAGATCGGTTAGACTCATGGTGTAATAGTCTGCCAATCAAAAGCCAAAGCCAAAACCTGTTTGTGTTCTCTCCATGAACTGTGTCCAAGACATGTGTATTTAAACACACATTAACATGTGCAGATTCTCTGAAGCAGGAACACTGATCTATAATTGCTCGGTAATCTTAATTGTTACGTGTTGCTTTCATATGAGCTTTTCTTTTCAAAATCACATTGCGCTGTGTGTTCCAGATCCAGTGTCCCGCCATTTGGCTCTGGGCAGAAAACTGCTCACTAGATGTTGTCTGTCATTCATGTTGTTTCACCGTAGATACAAAGCTAATGGAATCCTGAATGTGAAGTTCCCCGCTCCCTTCCTGAATCTGACTCTTCCCATCTCCAGTCCTATATCTTTGTGTCAATTTGTATATTTGAGTGCCACCCTTGGTGTTTAGTTCTATCTCCCTGTTATTTCTGCTGCTGTCATTGTTGTCCTGGATTCCGGCCATGCTCCCATGGACCTAAGCATGGGTCTAGAGAGTCCATCCTGTGCATGCCTTGCATGACCCAGTGCAGCACCACTATTGGTGTTGGCCTTGTTTTCTTCTTTTGTGACTGTAAACTGATATCTATACATATATATATATGTATATGTATATGTATGTATATGTATATATATATGTCATTGTTAAGTGCTGTCAAGTCAGTTCCTATATATACATATATATGTATATATGTTTCTGTATGTATATGTATGTGTGTATGTATATATTTCTGTGTTTGTTCCAGTGTTAGTGTAAGGTCCTGAGGCTGCATCCACTCTTAGTGGATATATGAAACTGTACTTCAGTGTACTCTAGGTGACGTTTTCCAGGGCTGAGATGTGACAGTGTGATCCCACATGTGCGGTCACATCAACTGGAAGTGTCCAGTCCTGAAGTTGGTTCTGATACTCAACTCAGAGTTGGCTAGTGACCTTCCAATCCCTTTTTCTGCATATACATGCATGCATACAATCTTTTTTCATATGCATGCATGTATATGTTTGTGTGTTGATCTCCTGCATGATTTTTGTATACTGTTAGTTTATAGCTAGTTTTTGTCTTTATAGGGTCCTTGTAGGGAACTTTGGAATGAATGTGTCTATGGTATCAATGACTAAGCAGAATAAAACTTTCTGTGCATACACACACCATACTTGTATGGTTTGTATTATCCACAGTTTTTCTTTTATGTTTTGTTTCTGGACAATCCAAAATATGTTTCCATTGTTTAATTGTGTCTGAACAGTGCATGTCACGTGTTTAACAAACCAGCCCTCTCTGGCCGTGTATATGTGATTCTCTGCCCTTGTGTTTTGTTCCAGTTCGCCGTGTCCCACCAAGATTCTCTATCCCACCCACTAACCATGAAATCATGCCAGGTGGAAGTGTTAATATCACCTGTGTGGCTGTGGGCTCACCAATGCCTTATGTGAAGTGGATGCTGGGGGCGGAAGATCTGACACCTGAAGATGATATGCCAATAGGAAGAAATGTCCTAGAGCTGAATGACGTAAGACAGTCAGCCAACTACACTTGTGTTGCCATGTCGACACTGGGTGTCATTGAAGCAATAGCACAGATCACTGTCAAAGGTACGCTCAGGGACTCCTGTTCTGGGGGTCTAGATACAGTCAAGCCACCTAAGTCACACCTCCTAAGCATCTGTCCTCAGAACTCTACGATGATTCATTGATTTCTTAGAATTTTACATGTACGTATGACACAGATATCTAAGTAGGCAGGTAGCCCTGGTGGTACTGTAGGATAAACACGGACTGCTAACTACAAGGTTGTCTGTTCAAATCCACCAGTTGCTCTGTGTGAGAAGGCTAAGGCTTGTCTGCACCTGTAATGATTTGTAGCCACAGGAGCTCTATACAGGGTTGCTCTGAGCCTGAATCAAATCAATGGCAGTGGAATTATCTAGACTGGCAAATTCTCTCCACAAAGTGCTGGAAGCCTTTGTTGTTGTTGTTGTTGCTGTTAAGTGCTGTCCAGTCAGTTCCAATTCAGAACCAATCTGGATACGATTTATTAGGAGCGGATCGCTGGTGGGTTTCCACTGCTGACTTTGCATTTGTCCATCTAGTTCTTATCCTACAGTGCCATTCCCAGACTCCTAAGTGAGGATAATCATGAAAATAATGTAACAAATCAAAAAGATGAGGAATACTAGCCATGGTCCATCATACGTGAAACCCTCCTATTAGTCCAGAACCTGTATAAAAGTCATACGCTAGCCAAATCAAATATGTTAATATATGCTTACAATTCCTGAGGGTGCTATAAAGAGAGAAAGAAAAGAGAGAGTTTGAATCCACATGGACTAGATACCAGTTACCATGGAGTCATTTCCAATTCATGGTAACCCCCATGTGTGTCAGAGTAAAACTATGCTCCCTAGGGTTTTCAGTGACTGATTGTTTTCCAAGCCAGGTCTGTCTTCCAAGTTTAGTAATTTGTTGTTAGTAAGTGCTGTTAAGTCAGTTTTGACTCATAGCAACCCTGTATAGTGTTTCTGAGGAGCAGCTGGTGAATTTGAATAATGAGAGGCTTTCAGATTTTGATGATCACTGCCATTAAAAATGTAAATGCAGGTAGCATTAGATTTTGTTTCAGCCATGCTTTTCGCCTTGTATGAATGAAATCTACAGTAAAGACTTTTTTTCTTAAAATAAATGTTCTTTTTGAATCACGGGATAAAAAACAAACAACAAAAACCAGTTTGTACTGGTTGTTTCTAATCAGTGTTTGTAGAATTCTAGAAAAGGTCAGACTTGGGTGATTTAGGAGCCCTAGTGGTTTCATGGTTTAAGCAGTCCCAAAGGTTAGTGGTTTGAAGCAGCAGCCACTTTGTAGAAGAAAGTTTTTATGAAGATTTATGCTCCTGGAAGCAACACTATGGAGTAATTTTAGTCTGTCCTGAAGAGTTATTCTGAGTTGAAATCACCTTGAAAGTTGTAGATGAGAGGGAGGCGTTAAGGTTTGTGAAAGCGTTAGTAATTATTGCCGAATGAATACAAGTTATCCTCCCTGTGTAGAAAGTATGATCTTAGAAAATGCAATACACATCAATCTATAAATTTTTCTTGAAAATGCTTTTAGTTGGTGTCATATCCTCATTCAAACACATATAGTAAATATATGCAATATACTACTAAAAATGTACATAAAAACAAAGAAAGGCGTACCATGACTGACATTTATCATTATTTAAAATGGGTGGGGAATATTTGGCCCACAGGCCATATAAAGGCCTTTAAATCTCTACCAAAGCAAGTCAGTTCCAACTCATGGCAACTATGTTTAGAGTTTGCAAGGAGTGACTGATGGGCTTGATCATCGAACCTTGCGGTGATTGTTATTAAATGCTGTTGAGTTCACTGTGATTCACAACAACTGTATGCTCTTCCAAGTAGCGGTTGGTGGGTTTGAACTGCTACCCTTTCAGTTAGCAGCCCATTGGTTATCCTACAGAGCCACACCAGGACTCCAACCTTGGGATTAGCAATTTTTTTTTTTTTTTTTTAATATTAAGAAGAAAAAACTCCATTGATTTTCAGATAGTATTCTTTTTACTTTAAAATTCTTTGTTAGATTATTTAGATGAAAATGTCACCAAAGATACTTATGTCTGACAACTGAAAAACCATATAAATAGCATTCCTTCATGGTAGCTTAATTAAATTTTAATATACTCCAAATTGTGTCCTTTTCACTATTTCTGTGCATTTCTTGAAGCAAAGAGCCAATTGGGCAAGGTTTTACAATAAAAATAAGAATTACAGTTAATTCTTAGATGACATTCCAAGAACATTACTGGATTAGCTAATTAATCCTTAGAGTAACCCGTGAAATACAGTCACCCAGCTGTGCTGTACAACTCCTCTAATCCAGAGATTATTTCCATTTTCACATGGGGAAACTAAAGCAAAGAGAGGTGAAGGAATATATCCAGGATAGACTCCTTGTGTATCCTTACACAGCATGTATGTAGTAACTAGACTGGAAATCAAGCTTAACTCAGTGACTAGAGATTCTGTTCTCATATTGTTGTTGTTAAGTGCCACTGAGTCTGTTCCGACTCATAGTGACCCTCTATAGGGCTTCAGGGAGTCCTGGTGTGACATCGTGGGTTCAAGCACTGAACTATAAAGCCAGTTTGAACCCCAGGGTCGGCGGTTCAAGCTTACCAGCAGCTATTCAGAAACCCTATACAGGGTTTGCTATGAGTCGGAAGCAACTCGATGGCACTTAACAACAACAGTAGGCTTTCAGAGGATCGGTTGGTGAGTTTGAACCCCCCACCTTGTGGTTCAAACTAACCTTTCAGCCCAGTGCCACACCAGGACTCCCCTTTATTGTCATTGGGAGTCCTGGGGTCTGTGTGGGTTAGGTGTTGCGCTGCTACAAGAATGGTGGTTCAAACCTACCAGCAGCTCTGTGTGGGTGAAACATGAGCCTGTGTGCCCCTGTGAAGATGTATGGTCTCGGAAACCCGCGACAGGGTCACTGTGAGTCAGATGCCAAGCAATGGCAGTGGGTGTGATTTTGGTTTATTGCTCTCCTCTTAATATGGAATTTGTATCATCCATAAGGGTCCCCCTGTATTATCCTGACAATTTAAAAAACTACCCCTGGCTGTGATTTGATCTAAGTAAGTCTTATGTAGACACATAGCTTTGCCATTCTAACAGTAGAGTCCATGAATTCTTGTCAGAGCTGAGTGATACAAGGTAATCATTGTCTTTCTTCTCCCCCAAAGCCTTACCCAAACCTCCAGGAACTCCTGTAGTGACCGAGAGTACAGCTACCAGCATCACGCTGACCTGGGACTCTGGGAACCCTGAGCCTGTCTCTTACTACATCATTCAGCATAAACCTAAAAACTCGGAAGAACCTTACAAAGAAATCGACGGAGTGGCTACCACACGCTACAGTGTCGCGGGACTGAGCCCCTACTCAGATTATGAATTCAGGGTTGTTGCTGTCAATAACATTGGGCGTGGACCTCCCAGCGAGCCCGTCCTCACACAGACCTCAGAACAAGCACCGTCCAGTGCCCCACGGGATGTCCAGGCGCGCATGTTGAGTTCCACCACCATTTTAGTGCAATGGAAGGAGCCTGAAGAGCCAAATGGTCAGATCCAAGGATACAGAGTCTATTATACAATGGACCCTGCCCAGCATGTTAACAACTGGATGAAACACAATGTTGCTGATAGCCAAATCACCACCATTGGCAACTTAGTGCCCCAGAAAACCTACTCTGTCAAAGTCCTGGCTTTTACCTCAATCGGGGATGGGCCTCTTTCGAGTGACATACAAGTCATTACTCAAACAGGAGGTAAGTCTGATTCAGGGTGAGGGGGGTGGCAGGAAAGAGGGGTGAGTGCTTGAAAGGTGGTAAGGGTGAAAACGATAGAAAGAACAAAGATAGTATAAATTTTAACGGTTGAGATTTTGGCCTTCAAAATCAGTGGATTAAAAATAATTGTTGTATGAACTTAATGGAGACGCAGAACCTATACAGTAAGGAATGGTCAAGAGAAAGACATCAAAAAAGGAATAGGCAGAGATCCCTGAAATAACTGTTCCGAACAGTTTAAAAGAAGGGTCTGTTTCGGGTGCTTTCTTTTAAATATCTACCTAAATAGCTTGAGGACTTCTGTGTGAGGTGGGTGGATGGGTGACTCCTTCATGCACCATTTTGAAACTATATTAGCTGTTCCAGTAATGTAATCAAAGAACAACAAAAAAAATGTAAGTTAAGATGATTCAACACAGAGATAAAAGGTAAAACAGAGATAAAAGGTAAAACCTAGTGTCAAGGAGTCGCCCATGTTGAAATGGCTTGTTTGTCAGGAAACTATATTGCTTAAAAATACATATTCTCTGACTGGCTTTAAAGGTTTTTTAAATAGCATCAGTGCATGCATGGAGAATGGCAGTTTCCAAGGACTAAGATAACCTGGTAGGACCCGATTCACCCATTGTGTTGGGTTTTAGAGCAATTGGCACATTGTTTTGTAAAGAGAAAGACAAGGCCTTGCCACTAGTTTTTACTTTCCTAAGAGGATATCAAACCTCCTTGGTCTTTAATTCTGAGTGGTCAGGTTTGCCTTGGGTTGGGGATACAATATAATAGTTGATGTCTTCTAAAGTTTATCTGGAACATCTAATACCTACTTAAGGGACTCCAAATTGTGTTGGCTCCTTTTAAAATTTGCATCAGTTGGTGAGAGCTTTGATAGTATGCCATTGCCTTATTTTGAGAGGCTGTATTATTGGAAATGGTATTGGTAATTTACAAGAGAAACTCGTTACTAATCCTGGGAATGAAATCCTATATTTTTTCAGGTGTCTGAACGAGAAAAACCCATGTTTGGCTGAGCCTCTGCTTTGTATTCATGTCATGGGCTCTATAAATTCTATGATTAAATATGTTTACCTCCAATACAGGAATCTCAGAACATATTGACAACCTGCCTGGCCTTTTTTTATTTTTTATTTTCATACTATTAGCTGTTTTTCATCAGCTTGTTCTTGGATTCCATATTTTCTCTAATAATTGTGCGAAAGCTAACTGTAAACATATAAAATATATGTTTCTGGAGTATTTTTAAAGACCATCCATGTATCTCCCTTACTTGACTTTTGTAGTTCTTCTGCATTTATTTGCTATGTTATTGAGAGACTGGCAGAAAAACTTGAAGTCTTTATTTTTCCCAAGATCCTACCATGAATGCTTATCCTGGTAAAATGTAGAAATTTGTGATACGTATTCTACTTTTTCTTGTCTAAAAGTGGTCAGCTCACAGTAGATTATTTTTCATTATTTTATTAGCTCTGTAGTCATTAAAAGATGTTAAGAAAACATATTGGTGCTTACATTCCATTTTTAGCTTTTCAGTTTTGTAACTGTGATATTTTTAAATGCCTGGTCTTAGAGTGATCCGAGCTGTATGGTCATGAACAAATTAGTGTCATATAACTCAATTCAGTTGTCTCATCAAAAACAATAACCAAAAAAAACACACACCAATAACTACCATAAAAGACCAGATTTACTTGTTGGATAGAGATTGGTGAAGTCTCTGAGACTTGGCCCCTTCATCAGCTCATGGTCCAGTTTTCAGGCAAACAATAGACAGGTCAAGAAAAGGAACGGCAATCCTAGGGAAAAGCATGCAGTTTAGAATTATCAGCCATCTGTCATCAGAAGGACAGCATTTACTCAAGGATGAGGTTCAGACAGTTTAGGAAAGCTGAAGGAATGGAAACAGTAGGAATTGGAATACATGTTACACTGAGAGGATTACACTCATCGTCACGAAACAATGTGAAAAAACAAAACACAATGTGTATGAATTATTGAATAGAAAACTGATCTGCTCTGTAAACCTTCATCTAATTCACAATAAAAAGTTAAAGAAAATAATAACCACTTGATGGAATTTGGGGATCAGGTAATGAATAGAAACACTTTATAGCTTCATGATGATGGTGGTGGTGTGCCGTAGAGTTGGTTCCAACTCATAGTGACCCTGTATAGGGTTTCTGAGGATATAAATCTTTACGGGAGCAGAAAGCCTCATCGTTCTCCCACGGGACGACTGGTAGTTTCAAACTGCTGACCTTGAGGCTCGCAGTCTGTCTCATAACCACTACGCTACCAGAACTCCTTAAGTAACATAAAAACCAGTTGTTAATGAGTTAGATCCAACGGGTGATGACTTTTTGTTATTTAAAGTACAGCTGCTTCATAGAGTATTTAATGGCTGGTTTTTTGGAACTACATCACCAGCCCTTTAAGGTACTTTTGGCTGGACTCGAACCCCCAATCTTTTGGTTAGAGGCAAGTGCTCAGGGACCACCCAGAAATTGCAGTACTTCATATGTAGTAATTCGAATAGCAAGACCAACTAGAATGTGCTATCCACATGTCTACAAAAGCTGTCCACATATGCACTGGTGAGAGAGATTTTCCGATATAAAGGAACAAAACAGAAGACAGTTTGTTTTTGTTTTTTCTGGTCAAGTATATATGAAGTTAAAATACACTTGTTAAATTCATGCATAACACTTATCTAGTCAATTCTAGTAGGTTTTAAAAACAGACAATACAAATTACAGAGAAAATAATTAAATTCCTAAATTTAATGTAACCTCTCTAAAAGGGTATTTCACCATGGTGTTGTGGTTTGTTTGGGCTTTTTTTTGCCTAGCAACAATCTTAAGAATTAGCCTTAGTAATAAGGAAAAGAAGTTTCAGCATGAATTATGTCAGAACTCACATCATTGTGAAAACTTGGCGTGGTGCTATAAGATAAGCATTGGACTGCTAACCGTAAGGTCAGCAATTCAAACTCACCAACTGCTTCTCAGAAACCCAATGCAGGGTCGTTGTGAGTCAGAACTGACTCAAAAGTACAGCAGAGTAGCAACATCATTGTTTTTCCAGGTGTCCAGTATTAAATGGCCTTTGTTAGTTAGACCTATGGAGCAGAACAAATCAGTTTGCTATTTTGCAGGGTTGTTTTGTTTTTTTTTAGCCTATTGATCTTGGCAATCACTAGTCATTATGTCATTATATGTCTTCTCCATCAATGAGAACTAAACATATAACTCGTATAGAAAGGTCCTTGGAAATCTCCTATTCTTAAAAAAACAAAACAAAACAACGTCAAACAGAGATTGGGAAGAACTGTTCTAAGAAGACACTCCTGAGCCATTCATCTAGATTGTAATCTGTCCTTATATTAAATCAAACCTCCAGAAAGCAGAGTTCCTGGTTCATATTAACTCGATTGCCCTCCTCACAATCCTGTCTTCACTAAGTGAAGATTTAATGTTATATTATGCCCTCTGGTCATGTAGAAAATCAAAATGTGATCTGTCTCTCTAAAAACCAGCTCTGTATATTTCAGTAGATTGGTACTGAAGGCATTGCTGTATCTTTGAAAGTTCCTGCATATCAGAATACTTAGGAGTCTCAAGAATATTCATGTTTTGGTTAAACTTAGTTCCAGGAACTCTTTTGTCTTTTAGAAAAGGAAATCATCCAGTCACCAGAAAATGGCGGCTGTTGTCATTGTTGTGTGCTGTTGAGTTGGTTTCGACTGTAGGATTTCCGAGAGTACCTGGTGGGTTTGAACTGGTTTTCATACAGTTTAGTGCATATCATACAGTGCCACACCAGGGCTTGGAACCAACAAGTCCAGTTATTAGAAAACACAAGCAGGAATGAATGGGACATTTTATGGTTTTCTTTCTAGTTATATAATTAGAAATGTGTGACTGTTATTTTACAAAAGAAGTACAAATGGAACTCTGGTTGTAAAATGTTAACAAATTACATCTTCAAGATAAATGCCTCAAAATAGACATTACTTTATGTTCATGTTAATTGAAGACCTTCTAAAGTTTCAAAATTCTGATGTGCATTCTTGCTAAACGATCTCTCAGAAAAATGTGTCTGGCCTCTACTTCTTCTAAGTGGTTAATATGATAGGAAAAAAGTCTGTTACTTAATGTGTGTTTTCTTAAATAAATGCAGGTTTGGGGAAAGATAAGAAAACAATATATGTTTGCTAAATAACTAATGACAAGTAGTATCAGTGTTAAAGATTTTGAGATAGTTAATTCTGCTACAAATTCTGGGAATGGAATAATTGTTAAAATATAAAACTATGACATTTAGAGACATTGTGCTTTAGGGTTCCAGAACTTTATAAATCATTTCATTAGTAAATGTCAACAGGTCTATTTAAACAAACTAGAGAAAGACTGATTTCCAATAGCCAAAATTATGAGCCCAATTTAAATGACTTACTATAAATAGTCCCAGAACTGACACCAAGAGCTGTTGATGTAAATACAATGTTAATAAACTTTAACTTTTGATTGTTATTTAATGACAGTTGGGAGTCAGATTTATACATATACTTAAGCACTAAGTACTTACTTTTTCAGTGATATGTTTGTGGTACTTAGATTTAGATAGCAGACTGCTAGTTTTAACTTTTGTTTTATTTTGATGTACTACCGCTATAATTCTGCGTGTTATATTGATTGTTGTTATTTTCACTGATCAATATGCACATTTTAAATATACACATTTTAACTGTGTAAATATACAGATAACATACATTTTGAAGGGTGTGCCTTATGAAGATGGTTTTGCAATGATGAATTTTTCTTTTTCATGTTCGCTTTCCACATCTCAATTCTAAATTTGGTTTCTGACCAGTATTCTCACATTTCCCTTCATAATGGAGAGAGATTGCGCTTACTTTCTAGATACACTCTTTCCCTCCCCCTCCTCGATGAATTTCCCAGAATTTC